CCCCATCTCCGGTGCTCATGGAAAGCCTATGTTCCTATGCTCCTTCAGCGCCTAGGGCCTAAGTCCCCGAATCTGACCTTGGATGTGGCTTGGATGTTCGTGTTTTGGTCGATTCAGGCAAGCCCAAGCCCTCAAGCACTCGCGACATCTCTCGCCCTTAAAACCTCAAACTTGGGTAGCACTTCACAAGGATCTAAACTCTTCCAGTTGCAAGCATGAGCCCCGAGATGGGGAGAGGCTGCATCACCCCTTTCTCATGCCAGGATGTGCTGTAGTACGAAAGGAACGGCAACAATAGGAGCCCAGCAGGGGAGAAGGGGTGAAGTTTGTTCGTGCAGATCCGGCAAGTGGAGGGCTTCAGAGCTGTGAAGCTACGCATTGTGGAGTTTACAGGCCGAGGACTGGAGGGCCCAGGTCAAAGAGGCTTCATGGGCTCTCGTCTCCTCAGAAAACTGGACGACGCCAGCAGCCTGAGCGGAGACGTGGCCCCCCCGTAGAAAGTGAGTGGAATCAATCACCTCACCTTTTTTTGAGGCTCTTCAGACTATCGGTGGCCAAAACTAGCAGGCTACTAAGTTTGCCATAGGTATTCCATAGGCGCCTTCAAGGGAACCCTGCACAGCTCGGCAAAGCTGCCTGCGTCGACTGCACCGGAGGCTTTGAGGAACAAAAATCGTTCAGCGAAGCATCTGCAGTGACTCCCGATGTCTAAGTGGCTGTGTAAGGCACCTTCAAGGTTTTCAGGCTTTAACGAGTCCTATCATAGCGAGAAGGCTGAGCTCACTAGGATGTGCTGCCGAAGCAAGCAGTTCGGATGTAGGATCACCTATTCCTTCGCCACTGCGTTAAGTCACATCTGCGGCAGGCTTTTCGTCTGGACCCATGCCAGGGGCCGCAATGTGACCTGGCTGCCTTTGCTGGCTGCCGTTTGAGTCTAGGTAGCTTCAGAGCATTGGTGTTGAGGCCTGTCCTCGGAGAAGATGTGCTGCGTCCTTTAAGAACCGTTGACACTTTTGCATCTGCGGCATGTTACCACATCGAAGACCCTGAGCACGAATGAAATGTCAAGCCTCGCGCATGACCAAAACGCCAAAAGCCCAACAGTCTACATCCGAATCTCGACAGCCCTGCACCCTAATCCTAAACCTTTACCCCTAGCACCAAAAAAACAGGAGAGCAGAACCCCAAAACCCCATACCCAGGCCCGGCGCCATGTCTGGAATGCCGGGACCGACCATCGAAGCTTTCGTGGAGGCGAGGATCCCACTTACAGCTCTATAGGGTGGTTTGAGCATCTGAGGGATTATAGGATGTGAGGGTACTTAGAGTTTAAAGTGCAGTCATGAGAGCTGAACCTCCGTGTCCTAAGACCTTCAAGCGCTTGCACAAGTCCAGGTAGTCAGGGTTCACCAAAGACCCTGGTTACCCTGCTTCGCATTCTAGGTATAGTTATTTTCTATTGGGGTCCCGGATTTCCTGAAACTCCCCAAGTCGCTAGGGGCTACCAAAAGGGGCCCCAACGTCCAGCTGAGCTTGGGTTGTGCATTCAAAGGTGCAGGCCAGGTTTTAGGGTATATAGGCTTTGAAGGTGTAGAATAGTCTCCAGGTCCAAGGGAGTCTTTATTGCCAAACCTGGTGCATCTGCAAGGTCCCCGCTGTCAGGAGTAGCTCGCACGGCCTGGGCGTGCCAGAAAGAAGATCAAGTCTTAATTGGTTTGCTGAAGTTGCAGTTTTCAGGCTCCAGGCTTAAGACACTGTCTACCTGCGCCTGGCTTGGCTCCAGAAGCACAGACCTCGTTGCTCACAGCCAACACATGCGAGCCAGAATTCACAAGTCCGCCTAAAAATAGAATGACTCCTTTAAGGGCAGCACGAGCCAAGATCTTGACGACTGGGTGAGCCCTTCGATGGCACCCGAAGTCGGACAACGAAACATAAAAAGATGTTCTATCTATGCCCACCCAAGTTCGTCAATGTCCTTCCCTCTCAGAAAGCCTTCCACTCCAGAAGTGTTTGGTGTGGTTCTGCTGCATCAAATCCCCCATGGCCAGTTCAAATTGTCAAAGATCCAAGCCGCCTAAAACAGCTTGATGCTCTGAAAAGCAATCAACACCTCTGGATTGCAGGTGTCTCCAGAGGTGGAACCCCTCTTCCGAAAGGAGCAGGTGCACTGAGCGTTTCTGCACAAGTCGTGACAGTTGAACCGTGTCTTCACACTGAGACTTTCATGTTAGCAAACCCCAGGCCCTAAACCAAATAGTGTTTGCATGCAGAAGATGGCAGCTACGAAGTAGCGGCAGTCGTGCGCTTTTCAGCTGGCAAGAGATTGCAGTCGCTGAACAGCCAGGATGGAACGTGCGAGCCTCAGCGTCCCTTCGACAGACCCTTCTTGAAGGGGCTTCCAACTTCAACCCTGCTAGTTTCTTGACCTGTTTGTCGATCCCTCTCCTTTTCCTGGCATAGTTTGCTCTGGACCATGGTGCAAAGTTGCTCCCTTGGCTGAAGGAGCCAATCCTTCCGCTTTATATGGCGAGTAGTCATTGATAACACACAGAGACAGACACCCCTGAGCCTGGACTTTCTGCCAGCTCCGAGGTTTAGCATGCAGGTCCCCCGCATCAGGGTGCGTCTCAGCACCACGTGCACGCCTGCATCCCAGTCCTGAGATTCAAGCCTCCCGGAGCTTCAGCAGAAGCATAGAAAGTGAGATGCGACACCAGTATCAAAAGCTCTAGACGTTAAGCCCGCGCCCTATTAGATTGACAGGTGTTTGTGGTTTTACCCTGTTCTCCAGGTCCCTGGCAAAAACTCCTCACGTCTCCCTTCCAATGTCTGTCCGCTGGGGTACCTTTCTTGGATTCCTCGGGTTGAGCCCCGGTTGAAAAGACATCTACGGACAGAAAGCTCATGAAGAGAGTTTGCAGAGGGACACCCCTACTTACGTAGCAATGTCTAACCTGGTGATACAATGAAGTAGGGGCGTGAAGGAGCCTTCTGTTAAAGCATGCTTATCCTTGCCCTTCACAGAGCCCAGTACGGTGGGAACATGGCTGAACCGTCGGCGAACCAGGAGACCTCATCTGGCTGTGCCGAGTTATGAGAGCGTAAACCCATGCCTTGAACCCTGAATTAACCGCCACCTTGTGCCGAGTGCGAGGGAGAAAGACAATCCCGAAGAAAGCATGTCATAGGAGAAAGAGGATGGGCAAAGCTTTTCCTGTCGGATGCTTCAGGCCCCAGCCCATGCCGGAGCCTGGCTTATCTCCTTTCCGTCCCTACGAGGACGACCCGGCTGTGGGGCTGACAGGTTGTTTGCAAGATTGGTTTGAAGCACCTGGTTTGCGATCTTCATGAAACCAGCTGCAGAAATACTTGTCTAGGCCGTGATCCTAGACAGTTATTTCTGTGTGAGGCTGTCCAATGAGTGCTTCGATTCTGCGCTGGCGTTTCCGATACGTGGCATTCCCTGAATGTCCCGACCAACAAACACATACAGAAAAGATTGATCCGTGATTTCCAGTTGCACTGCATCGTGGCATGAGGAGTTCTTCGTGGACATGCCAGAGCTTGCATGGGTTGTCTTCAACCCGTGGACAGGCATGCAACCAGCCAGTCATTGAATGGAAAATGCATTTGAAATCAGGCATTGTGAAGGAAGACTGGTTCTGAGGTGTTTTACTTCTGGGCTCACGGAAAGTTTCTTTGGATCCTAGACTTCGGACTTCTTGGGGCTTAGAGGCTGGATCGTCGGGGGCTCGGGTTCAAAAGTCTAGCAGTTGCAAGCTTAGGCTTTCAGTTGAAGCTTCCACTGTTGCGGTGTACGGTCTTAGGGTGTGGTTCCTTCTAGATTGCCGCCATGCTGACTCTCGCAAGTTCAATTATTTTATACCCAATTGCTGCTACTGTTGTGTCTTACCCGAGACCCAACAACGAAAATGGGGCTCTGTTGTGCTGCCCGCGGCATCGTCTTAAGGAATCGGATTCCTAGCACGCCAGGCACTCCTCCAGGTGGCACCATAACGGCCGCTCTCCCAGCTCCTTCGACTCGCCTTGAGAGTCGTGTCACCACGCGCAGCCAGTCTATGAACCTGTGGGAATTGCCCTGGGGGCCCAAACCCCAGGACTCGAAACGGTGGCCCTAGACTAGACCCAAAAAGCCCCTGAAAAAACCCAGACCTTACCCCCGGACCGGTCCCTCTGCTTTGCTGTTGTGTTGAACTTAACCCTTCTAGGGCCATGTTTACGGGAACCCTCTTCTACTTAGAAAGACCCTATACTACGTTAAGCCCCGTTTAGGAGCCCTGTTGAAGGAAAGCCCACTACTTACAAAGGGTAGTCCTTGGAGGTTTATGGGTAGATGTATGATATAAGTAGGGTGATAAGTAGGAAAATTATACTTATAGCCCATATTAGGGGACTTATAACCCTACATATAACTACCCCTAAACCCTAAACACCCTATAGAACCCCCTAAGTATAACTTATAGCCACCCATGAACCTCCAAGTACTGAGGCTCAGGCACGGAAGCGCGGCGCTGTCCTGGAGGCTCCCGGCTCGGGAGTCCGTAGCTGGAAAGACAGAGAGAGAGGTACCTGTGCAGATCAAGGGTATACATACAACTAGACCCAGACCGGCACTTATACTCAGAGGTGTATGTATCTCTATCTGTGTATATATATATATATACAAATTTGTAGCACCTGCGTGTATGTGTAAGTGCGCATGTACTGGCTCTGTGTCGGAACACGGCTTCGTCCTCTGCGTACATGTAGCCTTGGGGAGCCTGCTTGTACCCAGGTGTCGCAGCAGACCACCCTGCATGGAAAGCTGAAGGCGACTGTTGGCTTTGAGAGCTTGGAATCCATGCACTGTTGAGATGCCGTCACAGCTTTACAGCAGGTGGTGCTATCACCGCAGCCCGGCTCAGTATGTTGAATACCTGTTAGATCCTATTGGCCAAGGCCGGTAGGGCTGTGATGTGCTAAGGCTCAAGGGGCCCATGGAAAGTGTGCTGAGCTTGGTCGAGGGCTTGAACTCACATGCCCAGGAGATCTTCGACCGCCTGGATGCCGCGTGCGGCCAGATGGACACACGGCTCAGTGGCTTGGAGACCCGGCTTTCACAAGCGACCGAGCGCATCGAGCGTACCCGTGGCAGCACAGCAGCCCTCAAGGTACAGAGCGCCCGAACCTTCCAAGGGCGGGGTGCACCGAGCCTGCGCGCAGCACACCGGGTGCTGGACGAGAGCCTTCTAGTGTCCTTACGCTCTACGGCACCTATCCCTGAGCTTGACCAGGGCGAGGGACGCCCCGTGAACTCCACGGCGGTAGCCGAAGACTTGGCTCGCGTCTACAAGTGTGTGAACCAGCATCGGAACCAGGAGCCACAGGTTCGGACTCGGGCAGGAAGCGAAAGGCTTCTACCTGCTGCTGGTCGCTTGACTTCGGTCTCTGAGCTTTTCCTCCTGAACTCCTCCGAGCAACCTTACAAGGTGAGGCATGAGGTCGACAACTTGGCAGAGCCAGAGGACGAGGCTTTCTACCACGGCAAGCGTGCAGAGATGGTCAAGGAGTCAGTCCAGCCCGACGCAGACCTAGACTTGGAGGAGGACGAGCCATTGCGAGAGCACGAGGACTTGCGCTTTAGGCCACGACCAGCTGCAGAAGTGACCTTCGATCTTCCAGATGTCTTGCCAGACCTTGGGCATGTGGCACATCTCGTCTGGCGCGAGGGCGAACAGCACTCCGAGACGGCGCGGCCCGCGTGGGATGCACCTCCTCCGGAGCTTGGCCGTGCATCAATCAGTGTCACTGCAGCCCCAAAGCCCGCCCGACCTGCACCACCTGCACCAAAGCGAGCATCCCTAGCTCCGAAAGCCACTCGCGCACCTGAGCCTTTGCTTGCCCCGAGCTCAGGGCCTGCCATAAAGACAAGTCCAAGCCAGGCACCCGTAACAGCGGTGGCACCACCGCCAGCTATACCGACCCCGCCGACCCCGCAGCCGGCCGCGCAGCCGTCCAAGCCCTCAACACCAGCACCTCCGCCGCCGAAGCCTGCGGCTAAGGGAAAGGGCCCCAAAGGCAAGGGCAAAGGAAAGGGACCAGCACCACCTCCGCCGCCCGCGAAGAAGGCCGCCCCTGCTGCCAAAGCGCCTGCACCCACAAAAGAGGCCGCAGTTGGAAAAGCAGCCATGTTCGCAGACATCCGTTCTGGTGGTGCAAAGCTGCGCAAAGTCGCGCCTCCGAAGGAACGTTCCGGCGCTGCAGTTGGCCGCGTCGTTTAGCTTCCTGTTTCCAAGCTCTGGCACTGAATACCACATAGTTCTCACAATGTATATGCTCTACAGCTCTACGGGCTATTACTTTGTAGCTGTACGGCTAGGTTTTTCTGCAGGACCGAGCTTGGATCACTTCCATCATTTGCGCTCCAGCAACAGGCGGTGGCACCGCAGAAAAAGGGTACATTGTTGTACTTTCAAGACGCCATGTCATGCAGCGCATGCATTATCCAAATCTAACCTTTTGGCTTCGATGCAGTGGTGCGCTTGGCAGGCGAATTCGCCCTACGGAACTCTGGTGGTGGAAGACCGGCAGGCAGGAATCAAGGAGTATCCCCGACTCCTGCCTCCCAGCCCTATTTCTGCAGCCCATCAGGTCAGCGCCAACACGGGCATGTCGCAGACGCTTCAGGAAGCCTTGCTGAACTACCAACTGAAGGCTTGTACCGGCCTGCCGTCCTTGCATCTGGCTCAGCTCTCACCCGAAAGGTCGAAGGCACCCTTTCAGCAACGCAGCTGCAGATTAGGGTGACGAAATGTGTCCATTGATTATGCAGGAGTCTTGGGCTTGTGGCCTTTACCTAACAAACCCTTCGCCCTTTGCCATCAGCTGAGGTAAACAAAGGTGGTGGCAACTGCGGCTGGAGCCCCAGCTTATCCACTGACTTGAGCCTAAAACTGCAGGCTTTTTTTAGGTAGTAGTAGAGTAGTAGGGTAGGCCACCTTTAACCTTATCACCTTGAAGGTTAACCTTTAGTTCTGAATGTTCTGAAAGGATACTGGACAAGTAGGTTTCGGACCCTAAAGGCCCGGTAGTGCCCCATGCACCCTTCAACCCCTGCTGCAGCCGACACTTCTTGAAGCTTCACGCGCTACGAGGTCATTTTTTTGCGGAGTCTTCCCCAGAGAACCCAATACCCCGTAATTAAGGAATATACCTTAAATTATGCGGGCCTTAATATGATGATTTAAGGTACATATTCCTTAACTAAGGGGCATTGGCTTCTCTGGGTCGTCCAGGTTCCCTTTTTCTATAATGACACGGCCCCCTACCGCAGGCTCAAATCGCTTGGAGGTGGATCTTGCCTTCTACTTTACGTCCCGGACTGAGCTCTGGGAGATGAGGCCCGAAATCCTGAAAGAGTCGTCTGCTGAAGATCATCTCCTCTTCTGTTTTAGGGGTTTTCCTTATAAAAGTTATAGTAGAATCAACCCCCTAAAACCCAATTCTAATTGCCTGCTGGCTGCCTCTGAGGGGCTCCGTGAAGTCCGGACTGAGATGAGTGGCCTCGGAGCCGTGACAGCGCATTTAGTCCCTGATAGTTGGGCAGTCGGCTGAAGGTATGCATCATGCACTGATAGATATGTTGATACAGATGACACATACAGCACATACAGGGAGACTGTTCCTTTATGCATGTATGCCTAACACTACCTGTCACTACCTACTAAGCAGTGTAAACTGTGACGAAAGTCGTGCCCGAGCCTGCCCATTCCCAACATTTGCCATGCTCTTATCGGCTACTCTCGGCACAGGATCTGGAAATTCCAGTGGGCCCATTATCGATTTTGCTCCTTTTTGCAATGTGGAGCTTGCTAGACCTGACAGGGATGTCGGCATCCCAGATGGAAAATGGCAGTGGCTCGCAGGATTTCAACCTCCATAAACTGCAAGCCGCGGACATGGCGCACCTCGAAAACATCTCCCAATGCGATGCTCGGGTGAAGTTCCGCATTTAGGAGCATATCTGGACCTGACTGAAAATAACAGTCTAGCAGCTTAGCACATCACGGTCGGAGCCTCAGCTGGGATGGTGCCTGCACTACCGCAGCCTGCAAGAGTAATTCGGAAACAAGCTGTGCATATGCAGATTCATCCATGGATACAGTGAGTGGGATTCGAGCTCGCAACACAGGAAGCCTGGGCTCCAACTGCTAAGCACTTTCTGGCCGGGCTGCCGGTGTAGCACACGACCCAACTTGGTTGGGACACTTCGCAGCATTCCAAGTGCTGCTGCCGCCCGCCATGGGTGAAGGCTGCCTCCGTGGGGTTCTAAGTCCCCTAAGATGGGTCGTAAAGCACAACTTACCCCACTTTACAACCCCACTTAAAAACTACCCATGAGCCTCCAATTAAGGATCTCGAAGACCTAAGCTCCAGACTGAAGGTCACAAACTCGCACCCTGCGAGTCTGCTTTGGGCCTCGAGAGTCCAAGGCCCACGAACAGATTCATCTTGGGAGCTTCCCGAAAGTCGCAGGGGATATATAAAAAGGGGTTCTTACCAAACTACCATAGCCCTGGAAATAGCCATAGGCTTCCTTGGTCTACGCTTTGCCATAGGTTTCTGGCAGGGAGTTGTAGGGCCAGGGCCAGCCTGGTTGAGTACTAAGAGCAGGAGAGCCGGAGTGTTCACCACGTCCTAGGACCCCTATCTCATTGAAAAGGAATCCGATAGCTTCGGAAACTTCATATAACGAAGGCTCCAAACCCAGCATCCCGAAAATGCATCGTGCACATGCAGCTGTGAGCCCCGAACGTAGCCAAAGTTCCCGAGAAGAGCTGTCATGTGCTATGTACGCAGAGAGCGCAGGACTGGAGCACTCCACGAAAGAATCACCAACCCTAAACCCCCAACCCAAGCTCCCAGACCTTCTGATCCGCACAAGAAACCACAAGGCCGGAAGAGTCTGCAAAGCGATTGACAAGGTTCCTCGACTAATTCGACTATGACGATGAAGAACCGCATGAATAAGAGCATTAACAATACTGGTAGTATTGGGAATGAGACGAGTATCAATTTGTCCTGGAGGTGGCATCCCCACGGCTGCAGCATGGGAGACGATTACTGCCGAGGCTGCCCAGCTTTGGGCAAGACTGTGTAAGACTGATCTCTTTACCCAGCCTACCTAGCTATCTAGCTATCTGCTTTCCTATCTCTCTCTCTCTCTCTCTCTCTTTCTGTCTCTATCTCTAGACATGTGTACAAAGGTACATACGCAAAAGGATGCATTCTATTGCATCGCATGCTTTGCGAGTAGGCGTGACAAACGACTCCAAGATCAAAGCGCTTCATTTCTCCGTCTGACGGCCCCTGAGGGCGCCCAAATGTGAAACGTGGTTTTGAACGTCCCGCCATTTTGGGGCGCCAAGCAAGTCGTCAAGGTTTATGCTGGAGATACCGTCCCACATCTTTGCAGAGTATCAGAGACTTTCATGGGTGCTTTTGCTGTTTCTTAAGGAAGCTCCCCTATAGGTCAGGGACCTAAGGGAGCTTGGTATTTCCCACAGGCCCCAAGGCGATTCGAAGCTGAAACCTGGTTCGAGCCTCCGAGTTTCCGTGATTCGGGTTAAGGGGTCTCTAGGGTCTGGGAGACGTAGTGTCTTCTTGGGGTTAAGAGGGTTGGTTGTAAAGTGATCAGGGTGTTCAGGGTCATAAGGGCTCAGGGGTAGCAGAAGGTTTTCGGTTTATTCGGGTTTATGGTTGGTGGAGTTTTATTTTTGGGACTTGGGGTTGTCCTGGCGTGACGTTGCAAAACAGGATTTGGGGTTTAAGGGGTCATGGGAGTTTAGGCCACTTGGAGCTCTTCGGGTTTCGCTTTAGGGCGATGATTCGACACGACATGCAGACAAGGAGCGTGAGAAAGTCAGTAACCTCCATACACCCAGCATCTTTACTAAGGCATGTTAAGATTTTTGCAGAAAAACATTTGCAAAAAAAGCCTAAGCTTTAAGTAACTCGGATAAAGCAGCTCAACTGTGACAATATTTCGATGTGGAGGAATCCCATCGGACCCGCCTTAGAGGGAGCCCGATTCGCAATAGGTTAGTGAGTGTGTGGGCGGGAGGGCGGTCCCCAGGATGATAAACCTTTTTTTCCCAGTGGCAAATCCCAGGAGGGGAGGAGCCATCCCGCCCACCCATCCAAACCCTCGAGAGCCACGTTCCACCCATCCGGGTCCCCAGCCCCAGAGCCGCGTTCCAACCATCCACACTTGCGGCGCCCAGCTTCCCCATCCAAACCCGTTGCTCCAGGCGCTCATTCAAGCCGGCGGGCCCCCAGCTCCAGCCACCCACCGTGTGCCGCCGATCCAAAGCCTACGGGCCCCCAGCTCCAGAGCCCGCGTGCCACCCATCGCGACAGGCGTTCCGCTTTGTTCTGAAGAGAGGACCCGACAGTTCCTGTTTGTGGAACCATGAAAAAATGCATTGAAACCCAAGTCCTCGGCCAGTTGGAGCGGTTCACATCCCGCACCGGCAGCTCATTGGAGGACTGACTCCTCGGTGCTTCTGGGGTTTGGGGGCTTAGGACTTTAGCAATTTAGGGTTCAGGGGCTTAGGATTTTGGGTTTAGGGGTTTAGGGTTTCGAAAAGCAGCAGGGTCAGACAGGGCTCCTGGGATGAATAGAGAATCTTGGGATTATGAAGGTTTGGGATTTATGAAACACGGTTAGGATTAATGCAGGGGTCGGAAGAAGTTACCGGTTTGGTTGTGTAGGGTTCCTTGTTGTAGCTACATTATACTACATTCCAAAAAACCCTGTTTCAATCAATCTCCTGCTTAGAGCTGTATAGGGCTTGGGGTCCAGGAGACGAAGCGTTTGGACTTTGGTGCAGACTCCAGTCTGCGAATGCTCTGGGCGCGCACATCGCCAAAACCAGGTTTAAAACAACAGAGGTTCGCGATGCCCAAGCCTGTATACTATGCAACGGGCATAGACAAGTCTTCAAGCTTGTACGAACGCCTGGGGGAGCTTAGTCGTTCAGAAAAGGTGTGAACTATTTACAGCAGCTTTGCAGTTATGTTGCTTTCGGATTGAAGCACGGCTTTGAGCTTCAAGCTTTACGGTTTGGAGGTGCAGAATTTGCAGTATGGACAGAGGCACGAACGGCCTAGGACATGGACTTGTGACAGTCTGATAGGCTTGCAACGCCCTGCACCCTGTCAACCCTGAAGTCCTTGAAATCTCGAGAGAAATCATTCCTTCCGCATCTGAACCGCTGGGGCCTTTCTCGAGCCTACTCGTTAAGCAGCTGCAATCGATTGAGGAGTTCGCCCTGCAGCGGGCACGCAAAGTGCTGGAGCAGCTGAGGCTGCTGCTTAGGAAGACTTGCGAAACCAGTATAGGTGCGAGTGTGGCACATCTATCCATATCTTCCGTCTGCATACAGGCATGCGTACATACATACATACATGGATGCATGCATACATACATGCATACATACATGCTTGCCTACTTACTTACCTGCTTACGCCACAGCTGTTCAAGTACGATTGTTGTGAATACTTAGATTTTGCCAGATATGCCACAGAGAAGTGTCAAGGGGCACTTTCATGGGGCATACATATCGGGCGCCCCTACAGTATCCAAAGCGAGAATTGGCACTCAGTCAGGCACATGCCGACAGGTCGGTTGTGGAAAGATTTTGCAGCTCAGGCACTCTTCTCTGTCCTAGGGTGACTCCTTGCCTGGGCGTTGCTCTTTCGTGGAGGTACCAGACAACATCAGATCCAACAGATGCCCGAGACTTGAAGTCCAATCAGAAGATCTGCTGAGCCTGTTCTGGTCTCGTTCATTGAATGACGGTCGCAGTGCCCATCAAGCGCCCGTTCTGCTTCGAGCTCATGTTAAGCTCCTGCGTGACAGACTTGTAGCAGTCAGAACAGTTCGATTCGCACCCGTCTTCAGGTCCGTATGGTGGTTCGGTCCGTTTGAGCTTTCAACCAATGAGTGAGGTCTGCTGCAGCAGTGCATGCCTGCAGATTCTGAGATCGTGAGCTCTGAGGCCAATGCGAAGGCAGCCGCTGCTTTAAGGAGCGAAGCCGGTTGCGAGTGCTGTTTGGGAGTTAAACTCCAGCTCCCGACCCAAACGTCAGTCAACTTCCAACCCAACGTGGCGAAGACGGGAGCATGCAGCAAGATACCATGTCTTCTTCGGAGCATCTGAACAGTGTATTTATGAGCTACATGCGGCGACTAGAAAATGAACTTTGCTAAGCTCCCAGGACTGAGGTCGCGATGGAGCACAAACGACACCAAGTATTGCAGGACCGCTGCGGATCTTGTGGTCAGACAACAAGATGCTTTACGATCCCTTAAACGCCCTGCCTAAAGAACCCAGCTGCATCATAGTACTTCGGGACAGAGCATCAGGAGAAAGAGATCATGGCTTTTGAGCGTGCCGCCTTCTTCCTTGGATGCACTTTCGCCACGAGCTATGCAACCCTTACAAGTGACGTCCTATCTGAGCCGTGAAAATGCTTGAACGCGGCCAGGAGAGGATAGACGAGGCGATGCGTCAAGCCAGAGCAGCTGAGGAGACTCGCACGGCCCTTAGGAGTCTTTACTTACGGTGTAAACCACAGGGTTTAGAGGGTTTGATGTGGGCAAAGCGGAAATAGACATGAAGTCAAGGCTTCTCTGTAGTCTTTCCAACAGGTGGAGCTCAACAACTGTGTCATGGGAAGGCGGATATCGCGGAGAGGTGTTCTGAGCGCTTGACGCATTGAAAACAATTTGGAAGGCTTTCGGACTTAGGTTGTTTCGGGGTTTGACCTTCTTGCATGAATGAAGCGCTTGGACTTCGGAGTTACGTCGAAGTCTGCGGCAGAGGGTGTTTGTTCTAATTGGCTCTGGATGCTTCCCAGCCCCGAGCCAAGGAGCTTAATCTAGGATACCATAATGAAGCAAGCAAGCATGTTGGTGTATCTTCAAGTAACAGTATACACTCTCATAAGACCTTGATAAACCTTCTATATCCCTATTACAAACCCTGACAGACCCAACCAGAGTCGTGTAATCAGCACCAAGGTGCCGCTCTTGAGTTTGAACTGGCGGAGGCGATGTGGCGATCCTTTCTTTGACATAAGGGTATATTCCATAGCTAAGGAGTATTCTTGCTATGACTTAAAGTATACTATAGGGGCCTGAATAATCAGGGTTCCTTATGATAAATACAGTATAGTATTCTTACTATGACGTTCAGGTGCATCCATTAGTTCAGAGGGGTATTGAGCTCTCCGTCCCTGTGTAGGGGCTGGGCTTCCTCGCTCAGACCAACCGAAACGCAATCGCTTTCAGTTTGTTTATATGTGCATATATATATATATCTCTCTCTCTATCTTTCTATCTGTCTGTCGATTTCTTTTCCTCTGTACATACATACATATGTATATATATATACATACTTACTTACTTACATACACATATATATATATTCACACATATATATATATATACATATGTTTCCGCGCTTTTTGCGAGGAGGGGTTCTGCTTCGTTTCGATGTTAAGCTCTGGCATTCTTGTCATGGACGTGGGTCCAGTCCCTAGGGCTGCTACGACGCCTAGAAACATGAGGGAACCTGATCGCCGAAATCTAGAACCTGCCCAGCCTCCAGCAAGCAAGGCTCCATGTAAGCACAACTTTGTTTTCGCACGCCGAAGTGCGCTCAAGCGCCTGCCTGAAGCACGATGACCTGTACCTGCGAGGTCAGCCGCAAAGTGGCGCAGAACGCACCTGACTCCCCTTCGAAGCCGGGCGCTGATCATTTCAGCTTGGCTAGCATTCGGACCTGTCTGGGTACAGGGTAGGCAGTCAGGCCGGATGCCCGTCATATGGGATTCAAGTATTTCAAACTTCGATCTGGGGTGTCCCTTGCAGTGTTGTAAGGACGTGCACACCATTCAGGGCATAGGGCCCATAGGCCCTAAACCCCGAACCCTAAACCTCAACCTTACTTGTCCCTGCTGTGCATGTAGTCAGTGGGGAGGATGGGAAAACCGAAATCGTACTCCAGGCGGGCAACCTCGGAGCGTCAGAGTCCAAGTGATGAGACCAAGTGTCTCCGCATTGCTCGGTCACACGTGCTGCAAGGATGCTGGCAACAAATGCAATGATGGCGCGGTTGGCTCTCAGTCGCCACAAGATAGCGCGGAATAAGCCATGATGGAGATTGCGAGTTTCAGATGCACATTGACATGTTGATTTTCTTAGCTTTATACGTCTCCCATCTTCAGGTAGGAAGCCGTCATGATCCTTTCTCAAGCAGGCGAAACTCCTATGTGCACAAGCAAGCGGCCGTCCACAACACACATGAGATCGGTAGTCGTCATGCCTAGATGTCTTCTGCGATAGGATTGCGAGATTCGTGCGTAAGAGCCTTCTAAGCATTCAATCATCGTCGACCATCTGTCCTTAGTATACAACAGCCGTCGTTTCTGCCGGGCATGCGAAGTGATGGTGGCTTCCAAGGGATTTGAAGACCTGCCCTCGGATGCCACTTGTCTGCAGCAGAACAGGCTCTATCTTCTATGTATGCAATGAGGCGTAATGGAGGGGCCAAGTTTACGGAAACGGGAATATGAAGAAGGTTTCCTCAATTCAAGGACATGTTGGAGACGGGGGACCTTCGGAGCTTGGGAGGTACCCAACACCCTCAACCGAAGCTCATCCAAAATACATTGAAGCATGGCCCGACTGTCCTGCAATCCCGGAAAACAAGAACTTGAAATACTACAACTCAAAGCCCTAAAGCCTTAACCCGCCCAGCAAAAAGCAGCCGCCCTGAGTTGCGAGAGCGTGAACCTTAAACGGTAGAAGCCCAAACCCCGAAACCCAGAAGCTCATGCCTGGAGGTTACCATCCGCTGCGTCGCTGTGCTGCCGATTGCAGACGCGCCGCAGTTTCGAAGAGCCGCGTGGTCGTGTAGAATTCAGCTCGACCCTACAGCTGTTTTTTACCCTTCAAGGACTCGGCCGACCCTCCACGGAGAGGATTTCCCGAACATAACATCATAAGACTCTGAACCCGGAATCCTCTTCTTGTCTCCGAGGTATGCTCCGGACTTCTCCACACTTCCGATGATAATCCACCTTAGCTCACAGGTCTTTTCTTGAGAGGCAGTCGATCCCCTGGAAAAGGGTGTAGATTGAATGCGCTAGACCCAAAGGAATCCACGTGTGCTTTGCCCAGGCTTGCCGGCGATTGAGCCTGCTCTGCGGCATGAGGCAGGTCAGCCTACCTTGCCTCTGGATATTTCTTGCTAAACATGAAGTGCCATGTTGTCCTTGTTGTGAACTTTTCTTTACGGTCGCAGGGCTGAGCCTTTCAACCAGGTGCACATGCTTTCGCATAGAAGTTCACCCGGAGTTGGGCCTCACTTGGGCACCAATGCCCAAAGGATCCCGCTGTCTTTAGTCCCCATAGCCTTACGCGTTGAAAGAGCCACAGATTTTTTACTTTGTGAAACCCCTGGATGGGGAAGCCATTCACAAGACCCTCCCCCGAACCATCGGCTTCCTTGTCAACATTTCTTTGCTTGAACAGCTTCTCGCGCACTCGCGCTCGGCTCGGCGTCCGCGAGCTCCGCCTAGTTGGCGGCGTAGCTGGCCGGTTGGCTGAAGTCTGGGTGGAGTTGCAAATCCTACAACCAAAGCACCCAAAGCCCAACTCCTTAAGCCCCAGATCCCGCAAAAACCCTCCAAGCCCAAACCAAGAAGCCGCAGACTTCCATGTAAAAGCCTGGAACTCAACACCAACCCGCGTTTGTTGTGTTGGGTCTGCCTCTTCGGATTCGGTTTTGAACTGTTAAAGCATGCTTTAGATAAACCTTCAACTTACAGCCCTGTTGGCAGCTGGATTTGAGAGACTGCCTAATGGAGACGACCTGCTTGACGGCTTGTTATGGGTAGCTATCTATACGCAGGCTTTCTTTCAAGTTCTTGTTGGGCTCTATGTATTTCGCGCCACGGTTTCCTGACTCTGATTTGGGTGTGGGTCACCTTCGTTGCTTGATATGGAACCAATTCTAGAGCTAAAACTGTCTTACCTACTTGTATCGTCTCTGAACTGCTTCAAGGAATTGTTGCTTGGCTTCTCACCCAGGATCGCTCTTGCTGCTTGAATTTCCACCAGCCCTCAGGCATGTTTGACCCTGAACTGTAAAGCCCAGGCATGTCCCAGTGGTGAGTGCTGAAACTGTAAAGCCCAAACCTTCAACCCCTTCCAACCCGGGATCCTGAATAAACCCCAAATCAAGCCTAAGCCAAAGGCACACCTTTTCTAAAATAGAGCCCCAATTGCGGGGGCTTTGCAGTCAACCGAGGAGACCCGAGGGCACCGCTGCGGAAAGGTGGGCAGGCCGTCAGCTTTGGGAGATTGGGAGACTTTTGGGTTTAGAGGTTTGGAGATAGGGGCTCCGGATGAGGTTTGCTAGGTTGATCCTCTTCTTTCTTTTTCCAGTCCCAGAAACGATGGTCATCAGCTGTGCACAAGCAGCCTTCTTGCTTTCCAACATCAAAGGCGCAGACCGGCAGACTACCCCAGCCACAGTCCTAGATATCCTGGCCCAGGGCACCCTCTATCGAGCTCTCCTGTAAAGAGGACACAGCCTAAGAGCCCAAGTTTCTTTCACAAGGACGGCCGAGATGCAAGCCGTCTCGGCATCAAAACCGCAGGCCACGCGCCTCACCATGGAGCTACAGCCCAACGCCACCTCGGCTGCAAAGGCTCCCGGGTATCCGAAATCCGAGGGAAGCTACCCATGCTTAGAGAGGTTCATGGGTTGTTTTTTAGCAGGATAGTTACACTTATAGCCCATATTAGGGGACAACTAACCCTACTGAATCTGAAACAAGGTTTTTCTGCCGAAATGACCCTAGGGTTTAGGGCTTCGGAGTTGGGTTCAGGGCTTTAGGGGTTTAGGGTCGATTTTGACAAGAAGAGGAGGAGGACGTCTAGGGATGAGAGATTCTGGGGCCAGGGATCTCGAAAAAAGCCGTTTTTTCTGGGTTTGCCTAGGAGCTTTCGATGATGCGGGCTTTGGCCCTTGAAACCTCCGAACCGAGGCTGAAATGAAGACCTAGTCGTCGCATCGGAAATTCTGAATACCAAAACACTCCTTCTTCTTTCAAATCCCAAGCTTAAGCGGGCAGAAGGATTATTATGACATCCCTTCATGGCCCCGCTGCTTCTGGCATTTTGGGCTTTGCTGTCAGGATCTTCTGAAGATCAAGGGCTCGGAGCTGGAAGCGGTCATCGACGGAGTGGATTCTTGGCACCGTTTGCATTCATCGACTGTTTAAATTTGAGACGTCTGCATGTTTTTGTTCTCAAGTTTCTGGCAGGTTCCGTAGCAAACCCGAGAAACAGGAATGCAAACCCTGAGCCCTATTTTCCTTCTCCGGAGCCAAGGATAGAGCTGCTTCCTCACTGGAGACACAAGTTCCTTGACCTGCAAGAACACGAGCTGAAGACGTTTCTGGATGCTCTTAGCATTACCAGTGTTCTGCCGTTCGTTGAATCTGTAAAGGCAGCAGTGTCAAACGCACTCGCCGGCTCACCAAAATTGATTCCAGCCACCTAAGCCGGGGAATATGGCCTGATCGCTTCCGCGACGGTACAGCGACCAGCAAGGATGGTGGGAGCTCGTCCAAACGCGGGTCATTGAGCGAGACAACTTCAAAGACGGGTTCAGGGTTTAGGGCTGAGGGTTCCAGTTTCGGGTTTAGGATTTATGAAGGGTTTACAATCTATTTTGTGTCCTGTCGAGCTTCTGGGACTGGAGGTTCTATGAATTTACGGTTTGGGGGTTCAGACCTTGTGGTTCCGCAGTGTAGTTATGGTTCACTGAAGGGGCCTCATAATTGGAATAGCAACGTATTCCTGGCAAATGCGCAATCCAGATGCGCGGCCTCACCAAAGCTGCATGTGTTTAGTGCTGGTCAATGTTTCAACCAGCAGACGCCCTTTTACAGGCAGGGATGAGGGGAGAGAAGAAGCAGGGGTCGGCCACCACACGGGAGCCGAGGTGAGCACTGCATGGGAGCAGGTACCCACGGCCCTCAACAGTCAGGACTCCTTTTCCTGTGAAATTGAAGCATCATGCGTTTGGTCCCTGCATGTCGCGGCCAATCTCGAAAGTGTGTGGCAACGGTTGGTGATGCTAGAGCAGCAGGAGCAGCTGCCTGACTCGCAAAGAAGCACGCTACATGACTGGGACAGCGGCGGCTACATGCGAGAGGCCTTGCGAAGCCGATTTCCAGCCCTGGACCAGCTTGCAGCTCCACTAAGTCACGAAGTGACCCACTGCTCAAAAGAAGGCAAGATAGTGGTTTCTCCGGTATTTGATGTGCTTGTTACCATGTGATCCCATGTACCTGTGCAAGGGAATGTTGATGTTGAAGATGTCTTGCACGAGACAGATGCTTGTCGAGGCCGAAGTGTATGCAGTGATTGGAGGGCAGCTGCATCTTGGCATCGAGTACTCATGCAGCGAGGTAGAGTTGACAATTCAAGACAGGAAGACTCCACGAGAGTCTTCTTTTCTGTCTGCCCGGTGTCACTCGGACCCTGAACCCTAAATGCTAAACCATCCTCTACCTATCACATGAGCTCATGCTTGTTTTAGGATGACTTGCCGAGGTACCTTATTGGGCCAGCCGAGTGTCCGGACCTTCGTTGGATGATGCAGATGGTGGATGCAGAGGTCTGGTGAGCGTAGGGTTTCAGGCTCTACATAGGTTCTTGCTGTTTTGCGCTCGCTCCCCGCTCCGATTTGCGACAGCAAGTGCCTTCTTTCAGTGATGTAGCGTGCATAGAAGCCACTCTCGTTCCCGAGCCAAGTGTCCAACCGTGAAGTGTTCACTTCGCAGGCTCAGTTTGCTTCCTTTCAGAACGCGCGACTGTACATCGCGGACGTCACCGCTGAAATCCAGACGAGCTCCACTGTTCGAGACCAGGACTAGCGAGAAAACACAAGTTGTGTGCCAAGCCGTGCAACATGCTTCCCATGTCGCCCTGCTGTAACAGGAAGTGTCGGCCCTGCAACGTTCCAATGACTTCCGGCCTTCAGATCTGACCTCTTCCAGCACGCAGAAGATTTTTTCTTGCAGTTGGCAGTCAGCATGTACGGTTATCCGAGTCCGGAGATCACATGACGCCAAAGGATCAATGGTGGAAATGGCACATCGAGGACCGAATTGGAGTCTCCGACCCTGGGCCAAGGTGTTCGAGGACACGTCTGCCATTTTGCAGATCAGAACATGGAGCTCGTAGCATCAAGGCCCCCCAACCTCGTATCCGGCCTCTACAGACCGGGACCCGAAGCTGTCTCAAAAAAGCCGCTGTGTGGAGGAAAGCTGCTTTTCTGTGCGCTGGAGCTTTGAACACGAAGATGCGCTGCGACTTCGCCCGTGTGCTGATGGTACGGAAGTCTAAGTCGTTTCTAATTTCTTAGCTGGGTTCCGTTTCCCGTCTCACAGCCGAAAGTACCCAAGACCGCTTAGCCCTGACAGTGCAGTGGAAACAGAGCCCCGGCATTGCAATCCGTTTTCGTTCCAGTTGAACGCAGGTCACTTGCATGCTTCCACAAGCAGCGAGCTCCCAAAGCAGTTCTCACAAGACCTGAGTATCCGGAGTTCGGAATAGAAGCTTTTAAAAGGCGTGCATAGTTGGCTGGTGGGGATCCAGGGGTTCAGAACTGCAGCGGGGAGGAGGGCGTGAGATTCAATTTTAACAATGCCCTGCAAATGCGGGCCCGCCAGCGACCAAGCGGCGTGTTGGTTTCAAGTTGAAGAGCTCGAAGACACGGCGAGCGACTCGGATCTCTCGCTATTGCAGAGATGCCAGATGACTCGGCTTGCAGTGAACTCTACACCGAAAACCCTAAGACTCGGAGCACTCTCCTTGGCGCACGAGTTGCCGGGAAGAAAAGTCCAAAGAGGAGTTGAGGTTCAGCGGTGCGATCTTTGAACCGCAAGCCTCAGGCCCGTTCGGGTACATTTCTTACCGGTCGGAGATCACGCAGAGCCCCCGTGCATTGACACCGTAGTGGCCCTACGACCCACGAAGAGGAGAAGCTTCCCGGAGTGCTCGGAGGGTTGGCGAAAGGTGTTGTGGGCTTTCTGTTGAAGGTCGAGCCTGCACCGATTACATGAAGGGCTTGGGGATCACGCTCTAGGAGATCCAAGATGATGAGACGGTTCGCAGACCACATTTGATCAACTCCAGACGGTGTGAAGATGCACCCCAGAACCATCGGGCTCACTGAACCCAAGAAGCCTGCACACCGCTGTGTATCCTGAAATCCCCACAAAGGCTTTCGACCTTCACCCTATAGTCCTGCAAACGAATCCCAGGGTAACACAGGGGTCGGAAGAATTAGCAATAGTCTTCCCTGAAAGTCTCGGACATTTTTTTGATTTGGCGAAGACTGAGCCCTAAGCTTGGAACCATGTGGAAGCAGCAAGCCTTTGAACCGTGAGACGCTGGCTAGATAGACACCCCTACTTGCACCTTACACACGCTGGAAGATGCTCTTAAGGAGCCCTATACCCCATATTCCAATGGGATGTGCTTTCGGGCTCGTCCTAGCTAGCTGGAAGGCAAAAAAATGGGAGATGCTGCTGAGGAACCCCTGCCCTATTCCCTATTCCCTCAATGGGAGATGGGGGTTTCCGAAAATAGGGGACCCTAAAAAAGAAACCCTAAAAGTAAGGAAACCTGATTTTCGCAAAGTAACAGATGCTTTTTTGAAGGAACCCCCTCTCAGCCCCTACGCTGCTGAAGGCACCAGGGATCTAAAGGCCCAGCTCGCCGCCGCCAAGGCCGGGGGTGGACTTTTTCCCTTGGGAAAATCCTACTTGGATTGGAGGTTCCAATGGGTCGTTCTAAGTAGGGTTATAAGTAGGGTAACTATACTTGTAACCCATATTAGGGGGCTTATAACCCCACTTATAAGTACCCATGAACCTCCAAGTAGGGTGTTCAGACAACGGAATCGGAAGAACTTGCAGTAAGAAACCCCCGTCTGGTCCCTATACAACCTGTCAAAATTATATGAAAGTCTCCTACTGCTTATTTTGTCTGACAAAATGGTACGAAACGTGGAAGGGTGGAGCTACCCAGGAAACGAATCGCTGCGAACGCTACCGATGTCGCACTCACTGTGTGTTGCCACAGACTGTTCAAACAACGGACAGACTGATGATGAAGACTGTGTTTATCCTCAGGTTCATCCGTATTCGATACACTTCGCCTCCATACCGGGCAACACCGCAAGCAATGAAAATCATGGCGCTATGTTGTCATCGTCATCATTGCTGTCACCTGGTCATCACGTGCACAAGATCGCTAATACTATTCGCAGGTTTGAGGGTTTGCACAGTGTCCCGTTCTCGAGGCTTGGGGGCTTCGGGGACGAGAAAGCCTCCAGGGCAACAGGATGTAGGATGCCGGCTCAAGGGCATGCAGCTTGCAGACGTTTCTTTGACCGAGAAGACAGTGGTTACAGTACAACCACAACGGCAGTAGTAGGATACCAGAAATCCACGACTGGCATTGGTAATCGTAAGAAACAGCGATACTGTAGTAAGCATGTTACGGTTAAGGAGAACAGGTTTGAGGACAAGCTAAAGCACCGCAAGACCCTGCAAAGCCGGTCGGAAGAGATGGTTCGCCAGGTGGAGGCCCGCCAGATCACAGACGAGACTCGGGCCATGGCCCTTGAGCTCGGATCTGAGTTTCGGTCGGGAAGAAAGAGCGAACTTCAAGAGGGTTTCTCTGAGGGTTTTAGATGGTCTGGGGTTTAGGGGCCTTGATCGATAGCGTAGGGTCTCATTCGGCTCAAATTTGAGACGAGGGCTACGGCTGGCAGCGCTTGGGGTTTGAGGTCTCGTGCAACAGGAACGCTTTTCGCATGCTCTGAGTGCCTCTGCTGATCCATGGTCTTGTCCCAAACAAGAAGGCGGAGGCTATCTTCAACTCGAGGCCTCCAAACTTTGGCGTGCGAACGTACAGCTGGCCTGCTGCTACCCTTGCAGGGTGGTTTTTACCAGCGATATAGGATGATTCTGCAAGGGTCATGCATCAAGACGGGAGAGCCGGCCTTCTTGGAACGTTTCTTGCGCTTGGCGTAGGGTTTAACCTGCAGGCTTTTGAACCAGCTGGTGTTGAGAGGAGAAAAGCCCAGTGTACAGACTTGATCATCAGGCGGCACGAGATCGAACAGCTGATCGCGGAGGCGATGAAGCACGCATGTTCAGATTGCCCCAAAAGGGGTTTTCTTAAACATTGTCTCAGGTCCCAAAGTTTCCATCCTCCCTGTGATGAGGATGCCCTTGTAAAGTGTCCAAGTCTTGTCTTCTACCTAGGCTTGTTTTGGAACTTGAAAAGTTAATGTGCTTGCTCGGCCGGTTCTGCTTCTGCAGGCGGACTTGCGACCTTCTGCAGGCCAGGGTTTTCCACCGCCAGATGTAACTGGCACAAGCCCAGTATGGAGTCCTGCATTCACTGCTCTGTCTTTGGCCATATCCGGTGCTTTCGTTCGATCCGTAGCTGATGCAGTTTACTTCAGTTGTCGGTTGATGCGGGTGTTGGTTTCTTTCAGGCTCTGCCACTGCAATGGGGCAGGACCTGGTGTCTGAAAGCATGCCACCATTCAAAGCGCTACAAGGCATGGTAGTCGAGTCAAGTTGCAGAGTAGTCACGAGCTGAGACATGGACTTCTGAGACACAAGCTTGCCCAAGATAGAGGACGAAGGGCATTGTGCGTGTGTGGACTTTGCAACGGAAGGACCAGATGAAGGCGGAGTTGCTGCAAATTGCACACAGAGCCTCAGACAATGCCAGGCGGGCAGTCGCATTGTCTGAAGTCCTGCATTCCAAGACGTGATAATTCTCGGCGTCAGTTGCTGCATTGCGCATGTCCCTTCCATTCCAGGACACTTCAAGAAGCGATGGCCGAAGTGAGCAGCAAGGCATAGCTTCGCCTGCTTGCTGCCTGGAGACTTGAAAGCTGAGATTGGACGGAGCCCGGAAGCTTCCCGGCAAAGCCAAAGAGGCACCATGCAGGGCGAACTCATTGCATGCGAGGCACAGCCAGCGCCTGCATCAGGCACACGGGGTGGGGGGGTTGCGAAGCATGCAAGCTTCCACGACCAGAACATACAAGAGCAGCTGGAATTGTGCATGTTTCGTTTGACCCTTTGGCCGATTCGGGTTTTGTTTTGGGTGTTTTTCCATGCCAGGAGCTCTGCCAGAAACTTCTGCAACCGCAGCTCGACTGAACCTTGAGCCCTATAAACCCTAACAGCATAGAACCCCCCAAACAACAAACATCCAACCCTGAAACCAAACCTTGCACTCAGTACCGATCACCTCCAAGCCTTCGCACGGGAGGAGCCGTCGCATTCGGTTTGAAGTTTATGTCCTCGCAGCTCATCTCTAAGAGCCGTGGAGCTAAGGCGGCGTTCCTCAACTCTGACTTGGGCAAAGGCGGCAAAGCTCTCAGTTTCGATGGTTTAGGGTTTATGGTGCTTTTTTGAGCGATCAGGGCTTCGAGGGTGGTCGGGTTTGCAATCGTGGAGGTTGAAGTTTCTCGGCTTGCAGTCCTACCGTCTTAATCCAAAACGGACTCCGAAACCCTAAAACACCCCTAAGTGGCCTATCGTTCCCCTGGCAGGTCTTCCACAAAGCAAGCTGGACATCTCCAAAGGCCTGTTCCATTCGAGCCCGGAAGCCCAGTCGAAGGATCTCTTAGTTTGGGTAGATGCTTGCTTTTCTGAACAATCCTATCATTTAGCTGGGGTACCTTAGGGGGGAAACGGCTTAATACTTCCGCATCAATACTCATTTCATGTATTCTGGACAGGTTCTCAATCTCAATGCCATTTATATCTCCTTGCAGCAACAGCCCCGTAATACGGAAGGAAGGAGATGCTAGGCTGATCAGTCCCATATGGTATCTGTTGCTATAAGTGATAAGGTGCTGGAACACAGTGTATGATTGTATGTTCTCAGTAGGATACAGCAGTATACAGCCTTATGTGCGTGCTGCCACCTGTGTAGCGTCTCCTGTGGCCGCATCCTGCATTGCGCTTCTCCTCCAAGGCGGTGGACTGCAGCACCTTGCGAATCGCGGCCAGGGCCTGGCGCGGTTGCCCAGATGCCGGTTGATCCACACCAGCCCCTATGGCGCATAGCTCCTTCCTCCGCCGAGCAGGACAACTCGTCAACTGCGAGCACTGGATCGCCAGCATCGGCTGCCTATCCTGCCCGTCACTTCGGCTCAACTGTGCTTATGAGCAGAGAGATTGGCCCTGTCACACACCAACCAGAAACAGCACACTGAAACGTAAGCCGCGATCCCCAAGAGTTTCGACTCAATTCCCACAGGTGCAACTGGTGATCTGGACAGCATCCAGGATGCAAAGGGGGTCAGGGAATTCGTTTTCGCTGCGTTCCCGCTTGGAGTCGAGGGCCAGTGGAGACCAAAGAAGGAAGCAGTGGCTTCCGTAGTGGACACATAGGGAAGCAGTAGCTTTGCAAGTCAAGTCTCTTTGCCGTTTCCCCTCCAGAGTTGTTTTCTTCTTGACAGCACAAGACGTCTTGCATGCACAGGAGAGGCTCCACGCCTTGAGGTGCACCCGTGGTCGCGCCGCGCAGCGATGCACCTAGTCTACCACTGTTGATTCCGGCAGGGGGCATCTATCAGAAATGGCGAACCAGCGTCAACACGTCAATGGCAGCTCCACGCCCATGACTCAGTTTCCACCCACCAGAGCTCAGAGGGGATCATTGCTGAAGTAAATCTCCAAGGACGGCTTCCGATTCGGCTGGCTAAAGCGGCCGGCTCAAGGCTGCGCAGCTGCAGCCTCTGCTCTACAGAGAAGCCCTTGCTTGGGCTCCCTTTAAAGCTTCGAGTGCTCTTTCTTTCAGCTTGGCCATGAGCCTGGAGCCTTTGCAGGCTTCGGATCTCCGAGCCGACTGCCAACAAGTGGAGTGCTCGAATTAAAAAAGATGGGTTCAGGCCCTCAGGCATTCTACCTTCCCACACTTCAGCGTGGGCATGTCGGTGCCTTGTTCTGTCACATCTTATCGTATTCCCTTTTGCTTCTGCCTGCGCTCGCACACTTGTACCCTTGCCATGACGAAGAGTGCCCTAAACTTCAGTGAACATTGCCCACTGACAAGGGAGACGAGGTAACGGTGTAGACTATAGGGCTTTGGGCATCGTGTTGAGTATAGCTCGGTTTGGATTGCATCATCCGGCAAGGTAGCTCGCTTCTTGCATCCAAACCTCTTTGTTTCTTCTTATTGTGATGTATTGGATGATCTCTTCTTCTTGTCATGCATCGTAAGACTTCTTTCTCTGGAACACACATGCTGGATAGGCTTTCTATGTTAGTCGAGCCAACTGTTCACTCGGTCATGCTATGAGAGGGCGAGGGGTGATGTGCCTAGTCGGCAGCTTGGCCCCACCAAACTAGTTCATAGGTCCAACTATGCTGGTAGTAAAAGGGTGTGTCAACTTGTGGAACAGTCTTCGTTTTCTGCAGGTGAATCTGGTACAGTAGGATTCGTAATCCTTGCAAAGGAAGGATGCCAAAATCCTTCTTCCAACCATAAACATCCAAAGCAAACAAAATAAGGCCAAATGATCGTTGGGCTTAATGGCTCCTTCTGAGGTTGCGCAATTGTTTGACAGTATTGAACGGCATACTGCCCCTTCGCTCTCTACCCCCCACCTCCCAAGTAAGCGGCGGTCAATCAGCCCCAGATAACCCCGTGCCATTGCATGGGAATAGGTCTTTGACAGTTGTGGGGACAGTTGCGGCTGCATACTTGGCCTGTGAAAACCGATGATGGACTTCATGTGACACAAAGTAGCGTTTTCCTGCTGATAGGTGCTTTTTAAGAAGGTCACCCCGACTTTCATGAACCTCTCTGACTCTATGTGGCTCAAGGTTTAAGGCAGCATGAGTTCGGCTAACAGCTACAGACCATGTCTTGGATGTTTGTTTGTCTGAAGGCTCAAGCGATTGCCCTGTCCCATCTCTTTGGACGTAGAGCTGCAATGGCTGAATGTAGTTTCTGAGAGCAAGGGGCAGTGGGGATCAGCAAATAATGCGTTCGAGAACTGGGAGGTTCGTGGCTAGAAGTAATTCTACTGTTTCATACAGATTTGGGGTTCTTTCCCGCACCTATCCAGCGCCAGAGTTTTGAGAATATCGACATGCGGCCTGGTCTCATCCAATAGAGCCCTTATCCCACGAGCTTCAAAGAGCCAGCGGCCGGATCCCATGTCATGCAGACGGCGCGCAGGCTCCCCCACGGCGCTGGAGAGCCCTGGCGGGCTCTCATTTTTTTGTTCTATGTTGTTGTTCTTCTTCTTCTGGGTCGCTTTCTCCATAAGAAGGGCTTGGCGGTAAGTTGAGCGTCAGGGTTTTGGATTTAGCTGTCACGCGATTTGGGGTTTAGGTTGTTGTGTTTTCTCGTGCGCTCTTGTTGCGAGGACTTGCTCAAGGGAACCATGGATCTCTCAGGGAGTTATGGAGTTTCAGGGTTCATGGGGGGCGGCTTTAAAGTCCCAACACGGATAAAGGAGGGGTCCAAACCTGATGTCAGACTCCCAAACGTTAGAAATGGAGGAAAATGAGGGAGGGGTGACGCGCTGCGGGGGGGGGGAGCCTCCAAGCGCTCAGCAGGGCCATATAGTTGCATAAAGCTGATTTGTAGAAGGGAAGACAAGACAACATAGTTGTGTGAAGTAGGAAATATTTGGCGAGGCTTCTTCGCACATACCTTTTTCTATGTTGCAAATTGCTATAAACTTGGAAAAGCACGGTAAACCTGGAAGCTGTATGTGTTCCACAGATTTCAACCCTGCGATTAAACTGGTTAGCACTGAACCCTAGCCATAGACCTGCTCAGTCAAACTGTACATTGTAGACCTGTCTATATCGAATGGCAAACCCCTAAACCTTAGTATGGGCAGCCAAGGCGCCACGCAGCATCACTGCAGGCATGCTTGACGGTCGAAGAAGATGAGGCATGGCTTCGTAACCTGTTCGTGCTTGTGCACAAGAATAGCCATCAGGTGGGCGATCTGTGTAATCAGGGCCGGCTTCCTGTATATCTGCATGCACAGATATGTGTACATGTATATGTATAGATATATATATATATGCTGTAACTCCCCGTGAACTACCTACCCTCGTTCTGTACTCGTATTGTAAATACTGTGTTAAACCAGCTTTTCCGGCAGGTCGGGATTCCGTATCTCTGAAAGACTGCCAAACCCAAACTCACATTCTCGAGAACGTGCCAGGCAGATCGTTCAGGTTCGACGTGAGCATGCACTCAACAGCAACACTGTAGTCTTCCAATCAAAAAACCAACCGCCAAGCAACGCGTTTAGGTTCGACGTGAGCACGCACTTAACATTATCAACTAATTTTTTCTTAGTGAAAAAATTTAAAACATCATTCTTTTGGAAATTATATGGTTAGACATTAAAATTTGTTTTTTTGGGACCCCCTAAGAATTTTCTTTTCGGTGTAAAACCCAAATTTTTCCTAGGAAAGAAGTATTTTGGCCAAAAAGCCTGTTATTTTGGGCCAACTTTTTCGCAGTGAAAACCAAAAAATCTAGAAAAAGAAAACACTTGTTTTTGAAAATTATACGACCAGACTCCAAGAATCTTGTTTGTTCTGTTTAATTTTCCCTGAAAAAATGTTTGTTTTCGGTGCAAAAACCAAATGTTTCCCAGGAAAAAGATTGGTTTGTGGCCAAAAAGCAAATTTTCTCCCAGGAAAAAGATGATTGTGGGTAGGAAGACCAACTTTTTCCTCAGGAAAACCAAAAAACATCCTTTTGGAGTTTGGCCGTGTAGTTTCCAAAAAAGATGGTTTGTTGCTTTCCGTAGGAAAAGTTGGTTTTTCAGCCCAAAGCCATCTTGTTCCTAGGGAAATTTGGCTTTTCACTCCAAGACAAAATTTTTTCTAGCAATGAGTGCGTATTTCATTTGTTGTTTGCGCGCGTTACGAATTAGTGTTGCCAATAAAGTTCGTCGAGATCTGTACTATTGGGAGTCGATTCTGCTTTGCGTTAAATATGTAATAACCAGGACATTATTCGGATCAATTTGAGGGGTAAATAGGGAGCTAGTACTGCAAGTCTAACACGGACCAGGACCCAGGATGTCAGGGTTATCACAGCTACCACTACGATTTTTTCTGGCTGATTAAGATTGTAACTTGAATAGGAGAAACATCGGGGTCAGATTCTGGGTGGTGCTAAGCCTGCTATGGATGGCTTTAGGGCGAATACCATTGACATAAGGGCGAACGACATTGATAGGGTTAGGGTTGATGTTGTTTGGAATCAGGAGTCAATCAACGATCCTCGTCATCATGTTGGTGTCTAGTACAGGTTTAACTTTAGGGTTAGCATGTGTATATACACACATAAATGTACCTACACGCATATAGGCAAATCCGACAACAAGTCCGAGATGATCATATGCTACAATGAGAAAGGGGGTGCCATACACAATATGATGAGGTAAACAAACAAATGGTGGTATCATCCCTAAAAATCTGATGGCCATCATTTGGGCAACGCCAGAGCGAAGACAACAAGGATCGTGGCTGTTAATGGGTGTCGCTTTGGTGTAGTTAAATACTTGCATGAATGTGACGGCTACCGTTGAAGTAAATGTTAGGCAAGTATTTAGCTTACTTGTATTCATATTAGGGTTTAGTACCAGGGATGCCATGACTTTGAACTTCGGGGACTTGAATGCTCGTGCTAGGGATCCCGCAGCTACATCTGGATTAATTAAACCTGTTGATGAAGCCAATGGTCGGGTTTCTCCTACAGCAAGTATCAGGTACAGCACGACGGTTAGCAATGCGAACAGCTTATGGGTAATATTAAGTTTGCGAGTAAGGTCCATCTTGGAGTCATATCCAATATCAGGATTGCCCAGGGGGTTGCAATATCCTTACTATCGCGGAGCCAATCAGGCTGATGCATGTTATTATTTCAACCTTCAGGTCGATTAGGAGTTTTAAAAGGAATGGAGAATGGAGCTCAATCGACATAGCTTGGTCAATATGAACTAAAACGTGAATTTATAAGATTTCACCTTGACAGATATGAGCTTCATCGTTGGAGAAATCATCTCCCGGAGTATCTGCGCGAAGGGTCGCAAGAATTCAGAGTGAAGGCTTCTGCCGTATACACATGCTGTCTCGTCGGAACTTCAAAACCTAACGTTAAATCTGGATCATACACCAGAAGCTTAAACGTAGGAGGATTGGTGGCGCTATCGCGGCACCTCGCGGTAGTTCTTGGGAGATTAGCACATATATATATATATATTTTTATATTTATTTCTTTCTTTCTTTATTTATGTATATGTGTATATACATATCTATACATCTATGTATGTCCATATGCATATATATATACACACACGCATCGCAACATGCGCGTACTTTTGCTTGCGCTTGTAGACCGCGACGTAGTCATGTGGGGATATCCCTGAAGCAGTGCAGGGAAACACGGAAAATTCATGTGGGTTTGGCCAGGCTGCGCCCATGCTCTTCCCGATGTACACGGTGTCGTCAGAGGTCCTCTTGCGGATGACGAGGATTCAGCCACACGAGGAGCTCAAGGCCGAGTGTCTTCCGGAATTGCTGAAACTTTCCCAGCTTAGGATTGAGGTTTAAGGTTTTTAAAGCGTCGAGGGTTTGGGACCGGGCGAAATGCAGACTCGTGACCTTATCTTTCGATATCTGCGTTTTGTTGGTGTGTCTTTGTATTGTTGCCGTTGTC